GCCCCTGCTCGCCCCGGCCCGCCCGGCCCCGCCCCTGCTCGCCGGACTGGCGCAATTGCTGAGTCACGATGCTGGGCAGGCAGTGAGCTCCCGCCTCCGAGAGGGTCGGTCCCGTCCGCACCCAGTCTTGCAAAGTCGCAGCTGCCCACCGGGCACCGCGCCTGCACCCGGGGCGAAGCACCAATCCCGCTGCGCTCGGCTGCTAACGGAAATGTCGGTGGTTCCAACCCACTCGATGCTCTGCGGGAGAAAGATGTGGCAGTCTGCTTCCATAAAAATTTACAGCCTTGGAAAGCCTGTGGGGCAGTTCTCTGTCCTATAGGGCCACTATGGTTCAGAAATAGACTCTACGGGCAATGGGTAATACTATTTACAATCCTTAAAAAATAAAATACTTATTATGTAAATCTAACAAGACGTTTGCAGGTTCTTTTTCTTCTTCTAAGACTAGAAGGGGAAAAAAAAAAAGACAAGCTCAGATTTTGAAAATGTACAAGGTTACCATTACCCAACTTGGTTACCGTTAACCCAGCTGAACTCACTGCATCCAGTGGATTCCAGCTCATAGAGACCCCATAGGGTTTCCAAGGCTGTAAATCTCCATGGAAGCGGACTGCTGCATCTTTCTCCCCTGGAGCTGCTGGTGGTTTCAAACTGCTGTCGATCACTTTAACCACTGCGCCGCCACCGACATGCATATGAGGCCAATGAAAACTGTTACAAAGAACCCAAAATCTTCCTCCTTCCAAAGAAGTGGCTCATCTACAGTTAAACCTCAAATAAGAGTGATCTGAGTTCTCTGTTTTGAACACTGTACCCTAGCCCAGCGTTTGTTCTGTTTCAATACTATAAATACTTCCTCTTAAGGAGAATGCTTAAAAAAAAAAAAAAAATCTGACACCTGGCTATTGACTGAGGCTTCTCCTTTTGAGTTTCCATAGCTTCAACTGCTTTCTCAAGTCTTAACTCACTCAAAAGAAGGCTGACAAAAGTCCCTTTCATTCTTTAACAGAATGAATTTCTTCATTACTTCAAATTTATGTCTTTTTGTATCTGTCAGCGTTTGAATTTTCATCCTGAAACTACCCATGTTCATTTATTTATGTTGTATATAAGATATATGTATTTCTAGTTGCATGGGTAGTAGCAAAAGAACATATTACATGCTTATAAGAACAGTTTAATAAATCATTGTGTACACTCTTACTAACGTATGTATACTTACTGGTGAAGGTCAAAGACTACAGCCTTCAATATAGATTATGCCTAAAGGTGAAGAAGACGAAAATTCTCACATATGGATAGATGGACAACGTCATGATAAATGGAGAAGAAAGTGAAGTTGTCAGTGATTTTATTTTACTTGGATCAATAATCAGTGTCCATGGAAACAGCAGTCCAAGAGTGAAACAGTGTATCTCATTGGGCAAATTTGCTGCAAAAGACCTCTTTAAAGTTTTAAAAAGCAAAGATGTCACTTTGAGGATTAAGGTGAGCCTGACCTAAGCCATGGTATTTTCAATCGCCTCATAGGACGCGTGCGAAAGCTGGACAGTGAATAAGGAAGACCAAAGAAGAATGGATGCGTTCAAATTGTGGTGTTGGCAAATTGTATTGAATACACTGTGGGCTACCACACAGACGAGCAAATCAGTCTTAGAATAAACTAAACCAGAATGCTCCTAAGAAGCAAGGATAGTGAGATTTCCACTTTTTTACTTTGGACATGACATCAGGAAAGACCAATAAGTACAAAAGGAGACGTGCTGGTAAATTAGAGGGACGATGAAAAGGAGGGAAACATCAAAGAGATGGATTGATACAATAGCTGCAACAATGGACTCAAACATACCAACTATCATATAGAGCAGGACCAGGCAACACTTCATTCTGTTGTACACAAGGTTGCTATGAATCAGTCAACTTGACAGCAACTAACAATAACAACAGCCACAATCCTTAAAGGAGTTCTAGACAGTCATTCAAAACAATGATTTAATACTGAGGTCTGCAAACTACAACCTACTGGCCAAATCTGGCCCGCTCCTGTTTTTGTAAATAAAGTTTTATTAGAATATGACATGTCCATTGGCTTATACGTTGTCTAAGAGTGCTTTTGTCTCGTAGTTGCAGTGGATATTACATGGCCTGCGAAGCCTAAAATATATACCATCTGGCCCTTTACAGAAAAGTTTGCCAACTACTGCTTTAAAGAATCTTTAATGCCATTTATTTCACAAATATTGCATTCACATATAATAGACATGATAGCAAAATATCTATAACAATGTTAAGATAAAAGTGTAAGTTACAAAATGATCTGAATTTTAAAAAATGCAATATATATATATCAGAGCCCTGGTGGCACAGTGGTTAAGAGTTCAGGCTGCTAATCCAAAAGGTTGGCAGTTCAAATCCACCAGCCACTCCTTGGAAACCCTGTGGGGCAGTTCTACTCTGTTCCATAGGGTCACTGTGTCAGAATTGACTTGACGGAACAGATTTGTTTTTTTGGCTATATATATGTTATGGATTGAGTTGTGTCCCCCAAAAATGTGTGTCAGCTTGGCTAGGCCATGATTCCCAGTATTGCGTGATTATCCACCATTTTGTCATCTGATGTGATTTTCCTGTGTGTTGTAAATCCTGCCTCTATGATGTCAATCCCCCTCACATCTGTCAGTTTATCGTACTGCAGGGGCTTGTGTGTTGCGGTGTTGCTGGAAGCTATGCCATCAGCATTCAAATACCAGCAGGGTCACCCGTGGCGGACAGGTTTCAGCTGAGCTTCCAGACTAAGATGAACCAGGAAGAAGGACCTGGCTATCTACTTCTGAAAAGAATTAGCCAGTGAAAACCTTATGAATAGCAGCGGAACATTATCTGATATAGTGCCAGAAGATGAGCCCCCTCAGGTTGGACGGCGAACAGAATGAACAAATCTGTGTTGGAAGAAGTATAATCAGAATACTCCTTAGAAGCAAGGATGGTGAGACTACCTCTCACATACTTTGGATATGTTATCAGGAAGGATCAGTCCCTGGAGTAGGACATCACGCTTGGTAAAGTAGAGGGTAAGCAAAAAAGAGGAAGACCTTCGATGAGATGGATTGACACAGTGGCTGCAACAATGGACTCAAGCAAAACAACAATTGTGAGGATAGCACAGGACCAGGCAGTATTTCGTTCTGTTGTACATAGGGCCCCTATGGGTCGGAACTGACTCCATGGCACCTGAAAACAAAAACAACGTCCTGTTAATGAGGCAGGATGAGAGGCAGTTTTGTTCATGAAACAGAACAGTCTACAAGATTAGGTTGTGTCTTAAATCAATCTCTTTTGAGATATAAAAGACAGAAGCGAGCAGAGAGACATGGCAATCTCATACCACCAAGAAAACAGTGCCAGGAGAAGAGTGCATCCTTTGGACCCAGGGTCCCTGCACTGAGAAGCTCCTACTCCAGGGGAAGACTGATGATAAGGACCTTCTTCCAGAGCCGACAGAGAAAGCCTTCCCCTGGAGGTGACGCCCTAAATTTGGATTTCTAGCCTACTAGACTGTGATAGAATAAACTTCTGTTCGTTAAAGGCGTCCACTGGTGGTATGGTGGTATTTCAGTTATAGCAGCACCAGATAACTAAGACTATATGTGTTACCGCGATAATGCAGAGTGGAGCCGCCTGCCGCAATAGCCAATTCTGAGACGGGGAGAAGTGAGCAGGAAGAGGTTTATTATATACTTATAATAGGAGACAGGGGAATAGATTGCTCCAAAAAACCCATCTCACCTACTGGAGATCGACTGAAGGCTTTTATAGGGACAGGATTATGGGTCTTCGACGTTTGTGTTAGTTTCCCCTCGAGGGGGTGATGTCTCAGATGAGTTCATCTTCTACTGGTACTCTTGGGGGTTATCTGGTGACATCCTTGGGGATTATCTGGTGACATCCTGGTTTTTCTTGTCACAAGATGGGTGCTTTCTTTGGTTTTCATCCTTGGATCATTATCACTTGTTTTCCACCCTCCAAGGAGGAACATGGGTTAATCTTAAAACTTTTCTAGAACCTGGAGAAACAAGATCACGAGACAATGTGGTGGTTAGCAATGGGGAGTGAATAATAGTGAACCAGGCCTGTGTAGCCTCTTCCATATGTACATGTATATAGTCTGATAAGATATAAACCAACAGATTAATAAAAACCAAAAAACCCATTGCCGTTGAGTCGATTCCAGACCACAGCGATCCTACAGGACACAGTAGAATTGCCCCATAGGGTTTCCAAGGAGCGGCTGATGGACTTGAACTGCCAGTCTTTTGGTTAGCAGCTGAGCTCTTAACCACTGTGCCACCAGGGCTCCCAACATATTAGTAAATTGATTATTCCATGAAAGAATAGGTGATTTTTTTCTTTCATTTTTCTTATATTAGGAAAGTGGTTTGTTTTTTGTCTTTTTTTAAAATCTTTCTCATATATTGAATCTGTTAGAAAAGTTTTGGTTGCCAGTAATAAAAACCTGGATGATTAACAGTCTAAAACATGAGACAATTTTTTGTTCACTTCCCAAGGAGCCTGGAGTCCAAGGTTCATTCATAATTACAAAATGTCATCAGGGGCTGAGGTACCCTCCATGTTTTATAAAAACCGACTTTTAGAGCAGGATGAATACTTAGGTAAAATGAAAAAAAAAAAAAGATTTGAGAATGGTTGAAGAGCATAGAAACAAACACAGGATTTCAGAACAATGACACTTCGGCTGTAAACTTGAACTCTAGAGTCAGAATGACTCATCAAATTCACCTTCTCATGTATCTGCTGCTGTTATTATCGCTGTGGAGACGGCTCCAGCTCATGGTGACCTTACGTATAA